CTGAATCTTGTTCTCCTGCCACGTGAAATAACTCATGCCATGGTAAATGACGAGTTTTTCGTTTATCTTCTGGTTACCGTTGTATGTTTGTCTTCTTGAATTGGTTATGCGTAAAAATTCAAACTTTTTCTTTATCTCCGAAATGCTTATGACCCACCAACGAGCTTCAATAAGTGAACTGCATTAAAGATTGCATAAGCTGTTATAACTTGATATTCTCAGGACAGAAACAACTCCATAAGCTTCCAGGGCTAACTAAAGCTCTGCATCGCAGTGATGGACATAATCACCGACGTACATAAAAAGGCGTTATCCGTATTCTGCATGGGCTCATCTGCACCAGTTTGTCTGACCGAAGGATGTGCGTATATCTATACCTGTAAAGCAAGAAAATCGTACGAATTTATTTTTAATCCTTCATGGCTGGCAAACCTAGGAGATAAAGGACAAAAGGAAAAATTAAAAAAAAAAAAAAAAAAAAAAAAAAAAAAAAAAAACAATTTAAGTGATCGAAGAGACCGCCACCCCCCAAAAAAGAATATCATGTGACATTACAACTTTTCGTCAGAGAGCAGACCACAGTTTCACAGGATCAACCGTTGTTCTGAATCTTGCGTCTAGATGGTTTAGGAACCTGTCTTTGGCGACAGTCTTGAGCACCATACAGGTGACAGTACGACTTCGCTTAGTTTCGCCTACAATTTTGATGGAGAACACCACAAGGGGACGGGTCCAAGGGTTTACCACCTCTTCTTTCCCTACCATCAACCTCGCCATCAAACTTTCGGATCGCCATATATTTAGAGTGTCCACATGCCACAAAGGCGCTATACATTTACAAACATTCTGGAATAATTAAAAATTTGAAATTAATATCTATTTTAAAAATTAATTTTCTTTAATTCGCTCAGAGAAATCTGGAATAAATAAGCAAAAACAGCTTCATAAATAATAGCCGGAATTTGGCAGAAATATGGAAAAAAAAAATCTGTAACCAAAACATATAATGTTGCTTGAACTTTTTTTTTAAAGAATTACTGAAAATTTACAAAATTTATAAAAACTGTCATAACAAAATGCCAGTATGGCAGCAGCCGGAAAAAATTGTCGTTCAGCTAAGCCCAAAGAAATTTCAGAAATAAAATCACTTTTCAAAATCAAAAACGAAAAATATATGAAGTTTTGATAATATCTGTAAAAAGCTAATGTCGGCCAATTAAAAGCCAACAATAGATAATGTAACGATAAAAAGTCAGAAATAATGAGTAAATATTTTCAAGTCCTTACTATACCCTGAAGTTGAAGGCTTTCAACGCTTTAACCGTTTACACCATTTTCTAATTTTTACTTTTTCCATTTGAAAATTTTAATCATAATAATAAGAAGTATTATTATCTAATTCAATGTTTTAAAATTAAAATCCCAATTACATTAACGTCACATTTTCCAGAAATAAGTTACAATTTAATCTATAATTTAAGCTAAAATTTATATTATAATAAAGTTTAATGATCTACGGGTAATTTATCTTGTCAGAAATAAAAAACACGCATGAGCTATTCAGAATATTTTTAGCATAAGATTCTACTTTTGAAAAATATTATTAAAAGTCTCTTTATCTCTTTTTTATCTTTTATATATTTTTTCAAATTAGTAAATTCGCAGGCCCCATATTATTTTTATTATACTATGCAATTCAAATACACTTTTTTGTTTCGTAATTTGGCATTCACTTGATTACTCTGTTTGGAGGTTCATCTAAACTCCATATACAGGCAAAATACTTTCATTTTTCATCTTTCATCTTTCATCTTTTCATACTTTTCATCTTTCCATACTTTTCATCTTTCTCCTTTTTCTCGCGGCCCACCAGCGGCCGAGCGGTAAAGACGCTGAATACGGGTAGTTCGGTCCGAGGTTCGAATCCCGCGAACGGGCTGGCTGCATGGGCGTTTTCGTGGTTTTCCCCATATGTAACGTGTATACGAGCCAGTTTCCCTTAGAAAGTCCTCCACGAAGGCATCCATCCCTTTACGCAGATAGCCCTCGTGTGCTTTGCCATAATTGAATAATCCCAATCCCAAACCCGTTTTTCTCGCGTGTATTTATTTGATTTTGTTTTAAATATTCATTTTGTGTACTGCTCTTATAATCACATAAAGCATATAACGCTACCTTATTAAGTAATTTTTAGAAAATTTCACGTAAATATTGACTACAGAGAAAAGAAATTTTTTTTTTTTTTTTTTTTTTCTTTCCAAATTCTTATTTTGGTTTATATTAGGCCATTCATGCTGGCATTCAGTCTTCATCTTGTTAATTTGTTTTGTATATAAAAATTCTTTTTTCTTTTAAAACGACGTTGTTCTCTCAAATTGGCCATGTTAATATTGTTTTAGCTTTGGTAGTTTTTATAATTTTTAAGTAGTTTTTGCGCTTAAATTCAGGTACAAACAAGAGTATGCATATCGTCAGGAGGGAAACGGCTTAATGTAATTGACATCTCAAGAGCATCGTAGACATCCTCTATAGAGTTAAGGTCAGGGGATCTGGCTGGCCAATCCATGCGGGGAATTTCTCGCTTTCCAGCTAAACGTCGATCATCTGAGCCCTATGTGGGCGAGCGTTATCATCCATTAACAGGAAACAACTCTGCCCCTAAAAACCGAAGTAAGAGCTCCTTTCTACCTCACGGCAGTCAGGGAGCTCTTATCAAACACACGGAGGTGTGTGCGCCGTCCAACTTAATACCTGAGCAAATCATTACACCTCTACCACAACGATGAGCTTTTTCTTGATGAATGAGAGATGGTATTGTGTTCCAGGCTCTCTCCGGATGCAGGTACGCCGAGAATCAGTGTCCAGGCTGAATACCGATTCATTTATAAAAGGCAAGGTGCTCCACTGAGGTCTGATGCAAGGCGTATGCTGTTTGCATTAAGCAAAACGTGCTTTTTTGTGTGTTACAGTGAGCAAGATGCAAACAGCGGGTCTTCTGGCTACAGCCCTATCTCATGAAGCCTCTAGTCAACTGTAGACCGTAAAATTCAGATTCCAGTATCAGCACACAGCTCAGAGAGGTGTGAAGCTTTAGTAGTCCTGTGTGACCGCACAAAGTGACAAGTAATGATCCTCATTCGTAATTGTGGATCTTAGTTTATAAGGTATTTCTCCCACTTCCCTAGCATGCCTTCGTGGTGTAGGGGTCAGCACACTGAGCCGGTATTTTAGGGGTCCGTGGTTCGATTCCCGGCGAAGGCGGTTGCATATTTTTCATCTTTTCTGCTTCCAATTAACCTAATGACTCTACAAGTGACGCCCGAAATAAAAGGGTTGTGGATGATGATTTTCCGCACCTAGGATTTGGCGACTAGGTCCCCTAAAACCCTAGTTGCCCTTTAAAAAGGAGAGTATATAAGGTATTTCTCCCACTCCCTTAGCGTGCCTTCGTGGTGTAGTGATCAGCACACTGAGCCGGTATTTCAGAGGTCCGTGGTTCGATTCCCGGCGAAGACGGTTGCATATTTTTCATCTTTCCCTGCTTCGAATTAACCTAATGACTCTACAATTTGACCTTGTCCAAGTCTTTTCGACAGGGATCTACTGTCCTGAAATTATTTTCACGAACTACAGCAGACAATGGGCGTTACATTGCGCTCTGTAGTCAACTGCGCTTTTGATTAGCTTGCCTCCTAGTCTCATCTCATTCCGTCATCTATACGTTCAAATCCTCATCTCATTCCGTCATCTATATGTTCAAATCCTCATCTCATTTCGTCATCTATACGTTCGCGACTACTCATTTTGCCTGCTATCTTATAAAATTCACCAAAATGTTGCTAGAAACACGGCAAATGTCGTAAAAGAGCACGAGCTCACAAATCGATGAAACCCCTCTTGCGCTGATATTTCCTTTTATTCACACCTCCGCAGACACTTATGGGTACGCTTACGTATTCGACCCTGAATATTTGCATAATTCGGTGCCACAATTAATACTTTGTTCAATACGTTTCGTAAAAATACTAGGCATAACTTGCAAATTCTCTTAATTCTGCGCACTAGTGTACTTACGAAATGCATACCTTTTTATAATAATATGATGTTAAGTTCACCAGTTCCATATTTATTACAATATAATATGAAATATAGTAATTTATTTGAATATAATTAGTCACTGTCATAAGCGTTTACTACTTTTGTCTCTTAAAAATGGTTGAAAATTAATTAGTTCACTATTAATTGCAAAATAGCTATCATTCAGTGTGATCAGAATAGTTTTAACTTGATTTATCATAGATCTGAAGTAAGTGGTGCCTCAAATTTATCATTTCAATTTTAATCGATTAAAATACCTCATTGAAAGCATAAAAATTTCCAATCCTATTCCTAGGAAAGAATTCTTGTTCCTGGGAAAGAATTCCTATTCCTATTTATTTAACTGTTAAATTTTTTCAAAGACCAGAATGTAAATAACGTCATTTCTTGCAAATTTCCCGTTTTAAATAGTTTTATTTTGTATTAAACTTCTACGTTTCATAAAAACTATTTCATTACCTCATGTAGCTTTTTAAAATATGCTTGAAATTTAAACGTATAGTTCAAACTTATTTACTACGATTCGCTTTAATAGCACTTTCCAAAATTAAAACCGTCCAAATACGTCGGGTGAATAAAACAATGCTTCATCGCTCATTCGAAAAAGAAAAAGCTTACCCAGTTATCTAAGCTCTTTTTTTATTTTAATTTCATCCAAGTTTCGCGAGTGATCGCTTAAAAGAAACAAAACAATAACTCACGTTCGAAATTAGATCGCGGCCGATATTCCGCATCGGGATGGCTATTCGCAATATGCAACCTAAAGTTACATTATTTCGAAGATCGCTCTCTCTCCTTTAATTGTCCTGCTCCGCTGTGCCTTTATTGTACGTGTTAGACTGTTATTGATGTGGTGAGGGGAGGAACGTGAGACAATACCTGCGCTTGACGGGCAGCCGAACCATTGTTGTACGGCCACTTAATGACAGGTTGTTCTGCGGCACTCATTGCAGCGCTCGTGTTCTGTCCACAACAGTGTAATACAGCCCTTACGGCGGGGAATAACTCGAAGCAAACAAGCTGGCCTACTTGACGCCGAGGAGGCAGGTGCCCCGACATGGGCCTGTGGGCATTGAAAGCCCCGATGGCCATGCTGGGGCCTTACGAGTGTCGAACCCTGATGACATGTCCAATGACATCGGTCATTTTGGAGGTGGAGCAGCGAAAGATGACAGAGACAAACGAAGGTAGGATTTGATATGCAATATTTGGAATGCGTTAGTTCACTGAATACCATGTGACTTGGTTTTGTTACAGTTTAACATTTCAAGATAGCATTTTTTAAAATTTTAACAGCTTAGCAATAAAACTTTTGGGTTAGCGATATTTGTTTATGAAGTTAGATTAATAACAAAAATATTAGCTAGTTGGACTAAAATTAGAAAACTGGATTAAAGCAAAACTTTGTTTTGAATTGGTAAACGCTACGTACGTTAGAAAAGATTTTTCTCAAGACTTTTATTTGCTAATTCGTATTACGAAATCAATTAATTTTCGGTATACTTCAGTAACATGAAATTAAACAAAATTGCAGAATGAAGTACGCAGTACGAAAAGAAAATAAAAGTAATAAAAAATGAATTAAAAAAAATGAAGTATTATAAGCAAGAAGCAGTTTAAGAGATGCAATTCACTTGAAAAATGTACTTGGATATTTCCTATAAGTGAAAATTTAATTCTGTAAACAAAGAAAATACATTTAAAAAAAACTGAGCTAACAATATTTTATTCTGCGTTTTATATATCTGTAAACACAAAGCTGTAAAGATCATGAAATTACCTTTACGGCAGTAAAATGAATTTTTTTCCCTCCCCGTCTTCGCATAACTTTCATGGAAATTACATTAAATTTGAGAGCAGCTTCTTTCACAGTGGATATAACTGCAATATTCTTAAACTGTTTGTTTTAGATACTGCTGGCTGTGCGCCACCGCTCACCCACATTATTCATTTTTTTATATTCTTTTTTATTGCACTACAATCGTTTTCTACGTATGGTGGTAAACACATTACAAACGTAGGACCTGATGCCGCAGAAAACACGTGCCGGATATTATGTAGAACTCTTTCGCTTCGGCAGCGCATTTGTAATTAAAACGCAACTGAAACATTTGCAGTTGCAGTTGCAATATCATTAAACTAAATACATAGTTTATGATTTAGTTTCGGGAAATATTCAGCAATACACTATACACCGGTATCTACTTAATAAATTATGTCAAAAATGTGGGAAATGATTAATATAGCAGATACTTAGAAATTGTATTTTCCAGATAAAAATATGGACAGTTGGGTATGTATAGTGATTATTTTGAGGTGCTAATAAATCTAATTTATGTTGTATGCGTATTTTAGACAAAATTAACAGTTTTTGGAAAAGATTGAATTAGTTAATTTATTCAAGTATACGAAGGGTATCAACTAACTCAAGTTTTATCTGATAGCATCTCAGGAGACGAAATCAGAGGATCTCAAATTCATTTTTCCTTACCAACAATCTGTCCAGAGTATTTCTATAGTGACAAATTTTTAAGTGCCCTCATGCCTTACAGACAATCCTCACAAATCTTCATGCTTTCTGTAAGATAGGAATCCGAGGTTAATGATGTATGTTGGCAGCTTCCGCAACCGACGTACTCTTCGGAGCGGTCAACCTGTTTTGAGTTTATGCTTTTTTTTTTAAATTTTATGTTGAATACTGTTCTTAATTAACATTTTTCCCGATCTAAAATGTAAACATTTAAGCCATAGTATGCTTAGCACAGCATTCAAGTGTTACGCATTTAAGTTGATGAAGATTTTGTAGTTTACTTGCATTACTTATGCATGTTTATGTTATTCATATCTTGCGAAATATCAATAAAACAAGTGCTTGTTATTGCATGAAATTATAAAAAATAAATTAAAAAATTTACTAAGATTCGGTATTTTTAGTAAATTATATTTATAGCATCATAATGCTCTGAAAATTAAACTTAAAAACAATAATTATGAAGTAAATTAGCACACATATGAGAAACAATTTCTTCTCTGATTTTCCTGTTTTTATTTGACACAAATAAGAATACTCTGGCTACCGGTTAGTTAATGAGCAAGATAGTATTTAATTTTCTGCTCAATTTGTAATGATGTGTATGAAAAGAAATATTTCATAAAGCCTGGTTAACATTAACACGGGCTATTTTACATCACTGCTGAACGGAATAAGAAAGCGTTCAAATATACTAACCTTTACTGTTATACATGCCTTTATAACGTTAAAATTACATTAACTTGTGGAGCCTGTTCAATAAAATTGAGATGTACTCGCGATTTTTGTAAAACAGGGTTGAGAGACGCAGTGACGAAGTGGAATGCAGTAAAATAAATAAATAAATAAATAAAAAATAGATATAAATGTTTCCCAGTGCCTCGCATTTCTTCCTTCAAACTTCATACTCCGTTGAAAGAAATCTTGAATTATTTCTTACATAATAAAAGGAGTAATAATAATAGTCATCAGCAGTAGTACTACATAATAATGCGTAAAACTAAATATAAAACTATAAACTCTTTTATTAAACGTATGTATTACAAAATAACGACAATAATTCGAAAGCATAATTTGGTTAATTTGATAGTAATAAGAATTGAATTTAATTTTAGATTCTTTTCTGTCTCATATTCCTAACTAATGATATGATGTGAGGTATATAAGTTATATAATTTGAATTGGATGCATTATTTTTTGGCGAGGATGGCATAGCACTAGAGCTTAGTGACCTAGTGGTGTGAATTATATGGCATCTGACGAAATTACTTTTCAAATTTAAAAATTTAATAATTGTTCCCAACATTCTTGATCTCTGATGATCGTTGGAGAGGAGCTCTGTGAATGTGATGTGAGCAATGACATTCAAACATTAGCAGCCTAGTACCCAAACTGCAGTTAAAATTTACTCAGATGATTACAGTTTTTATGTAAATTAAAAAGTCAATTTTTGTTTCCTAAAATGTTTCCTAACATTCCGTCTAAGGAATTATAATTTCTCTTAAATTGATATTACAAGAAAGGAGTGCGTTCATCGTACTTAGATTTATTTCTGATAATGCGTGCAATAAACCTTTAAATTTATAAAAATAAGCGTAATAGCGTAGAATATATATTATAAAATAAAAATAAAAATATAATATAAATAAATATATATATGTATTGTAATAAATAAAAATTTTAAATAATTAATTAATAAAAATATATATAATCAAGTAATAAAAATAATTCAATATAATATAAATATAAAAAATAAACATAATCAAAGGTATGCTCTATGTGCATTAAACCATTGGTTTTCAAAGCAGGGGTCACTTAAAAATTTTCGAGAACTGAAGAAATACTTTTAAAACTTTATTTTACTTGAATTCGGTTGACATTTGAAAAATACTAGGCAACATGAATTTTTCAATAAATGTAATAAAAATTTTTCAGGAAATTTGCAACTGTAAAATTAGAAGATGGAATGCTTGGCATAAACATACATAAGGCCCGCGGGCCCTATGCATCCCACAAAGAATTTTTGTCCAACGAGTAGCCTATTATAATTAATCATATTGAAGGTACATACAGTAAGACCCCGCTTAACGCTGTTTCGTTTAGCGCTGTTTCGGTTTAGCGCTCTTTTATTTCAACCCGGGGATTCTCCGAAATTGTGCGCAGCGCTAGGTTTCCAAATAACATATCCGAAACAGTGTAGTTGTGTTTCTTGCTTGGTGGACGCATTTTTATCATTTGAAACATTTGTTGACATTATTGTAAGTTTAAATTTGTATAATACTATAACGATAAATACAGTGACAAATATTATGATCTTTAGTTTTTATCATGGGTGATAATAAAAAACAAGAAAAGCAAATGCAAGTGATTAGAAGATTAGATTCTGGTGAACTTCAATCTCAAATTAGTGCTGCATTGATTTTGGCAACTTCAACAATAAGGACAATTCTTAAGAATAAAGAAAAAATACTGTCATCGGCAACTGCAACTACGTCAGCTCTGCAACTAGAATTACCCGCTCTAGAATAACATTATAGAGGAAATGGAAAAACGACTGTCTATATGGATTGACGACGAAATTGAACGCAATATGCCATTAAGCCAATCTATCATAATGCCTTCTTAACAAAAAAGGCAGAAAATTGGAAACCCAGAATAGACTGAATGATCTTGACTGAGAATTTTATTTATTTTTAAAAGTATATACGTTTATATTGTTTTATTTTTGTAAGAAATAAATGTTTGATTTTATTTTTATTAAAAAAACATTATTAAAATTTATGCCTAACCATTTTTTATCCGTCTTCCCCTAACCCCATTATTTACATGTTATGATAGCCTCGCTTAGCGCTGTTTCGCATTACGCTCTACTTCGATGGAACGTATCCCCCGCGTTAAGCGGGGTCTTACTGTACTTAAGTTAAATCATTAGAAAAATTCAGAATATTTTTGTATATAGAATTAATAAAACAATAATGTTTGCTTCAAGGCAGCCGTTAGCAATAGAGCTTCATAAACTGGTGCTTCGCTCTATCATTACTTGATTACAAAAGTCTCGGTATCAGCTGCCGCTAGCATAGTTATGGCACATTTAGGTAGTCTGTTAAAATAGTGGTAAATCAGAAATGCAGTATGTTACATTGCAAACCACAGAACATTTGAATTTTAGATAATTTTGATTTTGCGATACATAAATATGAGTAAAATTTTGTAATATATTTATTAGCTAGGAATGAAGATAATAATTTTAATCGAGATTTTCTCAAAACGTTAAAATATATATGAATTATTTACTGCATTTATAAATTTCATTAGGAAAGCTTACAAATTTTATCAGCTGAGTGTACTTAAATCCGAAGTGATTTCGACCTTGGCTAAGAGACCATCTGCCTCTTAAAGATAATTATAATTTGCAGGTTAAGTCTAAAGAATCACACTTGGTATCCCAGTTTTGAGGAAACATATTAATAATTCCATTTTCGTAAATACTATATGTAGTTAAACGAAGAAACTATACGCAGATACTAGCTTGCATCATTTACTTCCTTAAAATATATGCTAATCTATTAAGAAAAATTTTCATTCTTGATGTTTAAGGTTAACATTATGTATAAAGTCTGCATTGTTTTGCATAAGTAATAATGATGTAGTTACAGA